ATTTTCGCTATCCCATAGATTGTAAATCACATTGATGGTGCTGTGCAATGTACAGCATTGCCTTCTTATAAGAAAAGGTATTATGCATGCCAATATTTTCATCACCAATCCCAAAAAAAATATACAGATACAAAGATACACAAGGCACAAAATAGACACACAATGTATTATTAATCATCAAATGTATTTTTCATGCAATGTACCTGCATTTGACTTGATATCAGCATTTTGCCATCTTCTGGATAGCAGCACTCAGACTGGATCAGGGAGGGGCTGGACCGGCAGCTTATCAGGTGTGTTGCATGTAAATACTGTATGCTTTCAAGGAACATGATGATATAATAAGAAAGCAGAAAGATGACCTGATCAGGTTGCTGCTGCTCTTTCACTGCCCTGTAAGCAGGTTGGGGTTGGAGATAGGACACCACTATATCTCTTCTGCTTTGTTAGATTGTGATGGTCATGTGGTAATGGTGTAAAATTCAACAATAGGTGTACATTAAATATATTGTATTTTTCCGTAATACGCTATATCTTTTGGGTAAGAAAAGTGGGGGGCGTCCTATACATGGGGGCCATGTATAGGACACCCCCCACTTTTCTTACCCAAAATTCAGAAATCAATATTTTCCATGCTCTTTTTCATAACTGATTACATCCAGTTTAAATTTTGCAGAGTAAGACAGCCGCTTACTGGTACCAGTATTTACCGGTATTTTTTTTGTTTTCTGAAATTTTGATGGGCTCCCTGTTGCATCTGGGCACTGGCTATATGCTCTCCGCAGCATCAGCTGACGTCAGGTAGATAAGGCTCATGATTGGAGGAAACCTGTTAGCTTGTCTCTGCAATCGGAAGTTTCACTCGTGAGGCTAGTTTGCAGAGGTATCAGCAGTTTCGCAACCGTGGTTCTCCTCTCGGCCCCCCATGTATAAGACGCCCCTCCATTTTTAGGTAAATATTTTAAAGAAAAAGTATAGTCTTATACATGGAAAATACAGTATTGTTTAACAGCTAATACCTGTATTTATTTATGTCAATATATCGATATACCTATTGTAACAACTCAGCTTTTATGGATACAGATTTTGTTCACTTTATTATACAAATAAAATTCCTTGTTGCAGTAATTGTTTGAACAATTTCTTTATTTAAAGTGACCCATATACACAGCTATGATGTACACGCACTAATATTATGGTTTCTTACAACCACATGTATATTTTATTAAAGCTTGCACTTTTGCCTTTGTCAATAAGAGCATGAACATTAACATAGGATATACTGTATAGCAGCCAGCAAAAGTGAAAACACAATAATATGTAAAGCACAGTCTAACCGCTAAAGTACTTCCTGGCAGAGTTGTGCATGGTGTACAATTGCCACCTAGGTTTCTCACCTACACATGGTGAGGGGTTCCAGGATTTGTTATTGAGAAAACAGGTTCTGGAGCCTGCAGGTTTTGGAGACTTTGGGTGGGATAGGCCTAGGTCCACATTTGACCTTTTAGCCAGACACCTTTACTAGTCAGCTGTGCACATGCCTTAAAAGATATTAACTGAGTTATGGTCATGGCTGACTACTGGCAGAACACTAAAAAAGTAAAAATGTGCTGCTTCTTTTGGGGAACCTATTAGGAGATACCCTGTTTATTGCCTTGCTGAACAAAAGTGTAGGACAAACCTATATGTACTGTTCCTGGGTGTCCCTTTCTGGTAGATGGTTACTGCTGCCACTACCAGTTTAGCCTGTTCCCCTTATCATATGTAGAGGATTGGTACTAGAACACTATCAGGACCAAATACCTGGGTGTACTCATAAATCAAAACACAAACAGCTTGTTAAGGAGCCAATGATAAGACTTAAACAATGAGAAACATTAAAGCAAAGAACACTTACACTGTTGCCTTGCAAAAGGTGGGCTGCAACCCGACAAAACGTTGGTTTAATAAGCACATTTTTTGCTTTAATTTGTCTTGTTGTTTAGGTCCCGTCAGTGCCTTTAAATATATTTCCTTAAATTGCAAGGTGACCAGGTGCTGTGTCCCATACATTATTTACATTGCCTTCACATGCATTTTGCTACATATTACCAGTAAGTTTGGCTGCAAGAGAAACTTTGTTGGTGGTGTTGCAGCTTGAAATTATACAATGCTTATAAAACAAGGAAAATGTATATTATCCAATCTCCCCAGTAGTTACTGCAAAGAGATTGCATCCTTTTCTACATGAGTCATATGCTTGTTTAAAATTTATGACCGCTAACTCCTTTTAGTAGCCAGTAAAAAAGGAAATATATAAACTTGTCTCAGAGTTGAATGTGTGATGCACTGACTTGTGAGTTAAGAAGAAAACATCCCTATAATGCCAACTACTATAAATTAATATCAATGAACACAGAGTTTAGGAATAGAGGCCATACCACTGGAGGACAGTAAACAATGTTTATGTGGATATGCTCCAGATTCCTCTAAATGACTAATTTAAAGGGGTTTTTACCATCCTTACCATCTTGTCTTGAATTGTATTGTGATTGTAATGTCTTCCTTATATTGCAAAGCGCTGCACAAACTGTTGGCGCTATATAAATCCTATATATAAATAGTAATAATTAAAAGCTGAATATTAAAAGCTGACAAATCTGCAATTCTACTGATCTGAGCCTCACTGAACAAGTTTATTATTTTACTTACAGTACCACACCAGGTGTAAACTGGTACTGCACGTTGACCAACAACCCTTTGTCTCTCTGGCTGGAACTGCAGTTTAAGAGCTGTGGTTAAAGATAAGCAGGCCATAGACACCCTGAAGCCCTGGAGCAGCTCTAGAGTGTCCTCATAGTCCAGACCCTCCTAATAGCTGGTAACAAAGGGTCAAAACTGGACAACCCTCTGCCACTTGGCATAATTAATGCAACAAAAGAGTTTACTATACCTGGAAAAATTCCACAAGTTGATGTATGTGTAACTAGCTATTAGGTCCATAACAGCAAGAACTAATAATAAAAATATTATTAAATGTAATAAATGCATTAATTGTAAATAATTAATGTTGATTAAAAAATGGCAGAATTCTTTAGTCCTGGAACACAAAACATATCCTTAGGTGCATAAATTCTAGTGTTTTTCCATAAGTTTTCTTTTATTAAAGATTATTTGACAAGGTGGTCAGTTTTTATATTCTGTAAAAAGTTGTTGCTTTTTATCAGTGTATGCATTTTAAATATTTTACCACATAACACTCTTTACAGTCTTCAAAGCTCTGATCAAACATATAGGTCCAATAACAACAGCCAGTTTAACACTCAAATTTAATCTTTACTAAATGGACTGGGTTTTTTTCCTAACTCCTCAGTTCCGGTGTTAAGTCAGAACCTAAGCTCATTCCTATTCTTCAGTTCACTGAACCAGTGATTGATTTAAACATCTAATCAGATTAAAAGAGTTTTCTATAATTTTTTATTTTTTCATAACTAAGTTTTCTAATCAAGCACATCTTAGTGCATTTTAGGTAGAATTTACTAATTTTAGGGCATATAAAGTTGTGCTTTGCTTTGGAATGCTAGGTTTGGGACTTAAAATGATAGCACATGCTCCAGGGGAGGTGCATGTATTTGAGAACTGCTACACCTTCTACTCTAAACACAGGTGAAGCTCTGGAGCTGCAATTGACCTTCCTTTTTTCCAGCAATTAAGGTACTTTTGATGCAGTAGCAATGGATCTTAATAGGACAGGCTACATCTAAGGACATCAAATGGACAGCTGGTAAAATAGAGAATCAGTATGATCCTTCATATGGCACAATTAAAGTAAATTGAAATTTCAAGACCTGCATTAAAGCATATATTCAACTCTAGTGGAAGTCTCTGATTTGCTCACAGAGGAAGCTGCAGGTCCAGGACAATAGAACAGGTCCAGGACAATAGAACAATAGAACACAGACAAACCCATCATGGGACATTTAACTTTGAAAATCAGTGAAGAGTACAGTTACATATATTTAGAAATTCCATACCCTTTTCTCTGCTAGTCTTTTAATGGAATCCCCCTTTAAGAATAAAAAGGTCACCTATATAGCTTGGATACAATTATGAAAATCTTTTTTGCATAGCTCATATATATCAAGCTATTCATATACATGGAACTGTTTTTTGCTATTCTTTCATGAATAATACACATCAAAAAAGCTAACACTCTTCTGATGCTTGTACGTTTACTCTTTCTAATGTATTCAAGCAGTGAAATAATTAATAATCAAAGATAAAAAGATAAAAACAATTGAACTTGACAACAATCAATACATCAATCTTCATTTTCATATTACTCCACCAAACATGCTGCCTGCATTGAGGGTTATCTCTGATTATCATCCCTATAAAATGCATAATTTAAGCAAATTGGCAGTAGAAATAACCTGAAGTGGATGGATTTAATTTTATTAGGTTTTATATAGGATATTGTGAAAATGTTCCATTATGTAAATAGGAAACACATATGATACATAATACTGTCCTGTGCAACAGAATACAAATATATTCAACTATTCTTATGCCTAAAAACAAGCTATTTACTCTATAATAGAATGCTTCTTATGTACAGCATATTCATTTTCATCAATGCAGCAATCCAGATAAAATAAATAATATATACCAGCATAAGGTGTACAGAACCTGTTCTAATCAGGCTTTAAAAAAATAAATTTTGACATATAATTTAACTCGATAAATGCTGCACGAACCTGCTAAAACATGATATTGCATCCCCGATGCCTGGTTCTATCAGCAATTTAAATTTAAGTGTTCAAGGATCAACCAAAATGTTGACATAGAAAGTAGTAATTTAAATATTAAAAACAATGCATAGCGTTACAATGCATTTTGTTTTACTTCCTCCTTATTTATGAATTAATTAATTGACTACTTTAACCTCACTAGAGGTGTGCATTGAACTGCGCTGCAGTTCTACATGGAGTCAAATGGGTTAAGTGCTAGGATAATAAAAAAAAAATAATTAAAAAAATCACTGTCACTTTTGCATAGAGGAAGTCATTCTAAGATCATAGGGATATCTGTGAAATAACTCAGTACTTCCTGAGCCTTTGCTATACATACATCATGAGTCAGAGCTACTTTTAAATACTTTAAGATGGTAAGAATCTCCATAAATTAAAGACAGGAAGCCCCCAGATTTCATGGTTTCAAGCTTTCAGATACTCATTTTTCAGCCTGCTTAGCCTAGCACCATGGCTTCGAATAGTTAAAGACAGGAGTTCATGTTTATCCCTAAGTCCCAGTGAGACATCTAAGGTTTCCTTGAGCACAGCTCTTGTGTGGATCATCATATCCACAAAGTCATCGTTTAACCCTTTCATCTCGTTCTCATCGTTTTCCTGGCTCTGCTTAAACTTTAATTCCAGCTCCGTCAAAGAGTTATCTGAGTTGGAGAAGGCTTCGCTGATCTGGGAGGACTCCCTCCCCAGGTACTTTCCGTAGCTTTCCTCTCCATCCAGGTCATAGGATATGCTTTTACTGATACTTTCAAGTACTCTCTCAGAATCCTCAATCTGTCTTTTGATCACAACAAACTCTTCCTTTAAGGAAAGGGATTGTCCCTCTCCAGAAGCACATGGCCTGTCGTCAATCACTTTGAAGAGCATCTGACACTTCTCTGGGTCATCGTTTTCTTCATAGTCCCCGTCGGGGACAAAATAATGATGCAGAGTTCCATTGGACATCTCGGGGTGCAGGGGGCCATTATAGAAACCATGACACAGGTTGCAGAAAATTCCAAGCCACAGTAGTTGAAATCCTTTCATTGTGCAGAACGATCTCTTGCAACGGTGCCAGCAGTAGACAGTCAGGCAATAGAATTTAAATTCCCAAGCCCAGCACAGATATCCTCCTTGGCAGCAAGATGCACCGTTGACATTCCACAAATTGCTAATTTGGAATTAAATATTGTGTAGCCACTCCAGGTATAAAGAGTGCAAGTCTGCCTTAGTCAAGTTCTGTTCAGTTTTCTGACCAAAAATTGTCTGCATTCAATCGGTGAGAGACACTGAGAACACAGGGAAGAGCTCATACGTAAAGACAGCAGACTCCAATGCCTTCTTTGGGTGCAGCAGGAGTAGCACAGCGTGTCTGTGCAGTGAGAGATTGCTCTCTTCTGCAGCATGCTACTATACTATTTCAACATCTGGGCTGCTGTTGCAAAGTTTTTTTTTCTTTTTTGGCTAATGATATGCTGTAGAAGAGGTATCTGTTCTCAAATTACAGCATGATTTCGTCACTCTAGGAGCCAAGGAGCTGAAGAATCCTTTCAGCCAGGCTAAGCTATTAAAGCTGCATTAAGTATTTGTTCCTTTCCACTGAAAAAAAAGGAAATAACCAAATGAAATCTACCAATGAAACTGGCCCCTTTGAGGTATTACGTCTACAGCGAAAGAAAATGTTACCAAGGAAAGCACGTGTGGGGACTATAAATAAACACACGACATTACTGGTGCCTAAGTAAGATGGAATTTCAAAGCCTTTTTCCAGTCATGTGCTGGGACAAGCAAAATACATCTATTTATTCTGCAAGTGAATGTCATATGGGCTTTTATTCGCGCAGATCAGGAAATGAATAGGGATGCATCTTCAAGCAATTGCATTTTCTGTTTAAACAACACTTTTCCATGGCATGCTCTTAGCTGACACATGAGGAACATACTTAAAAAAGGAATAGGGAATAAAGGCAGTGTAATATCAAGACCAGCAATTTTTTCACCTTACAGTTGACAACTACTCTTGCAGGTAATGCACCCATGCTTTTGACACTTGTCCTGCAACTTGTTAAAGTGGACCTGTCACTTGCACACAACACATTGAAGCCTATCTCCAGACAGTTATAAAAGACACAAATGAATGTAGTTCTATTGTCATTAATAACTCAGTTAAGCAACACTAAATGCAGGAGTTAAAAGAGAACAATGGGGTAAGTGTTTTTCCCCATAGTTCTCTTTAGGGTCATGGAAGGACATATACTAATCTCCTCCCGTGACCCAAAGCACAGTATATCATGGGATATTGCCCGTGATTTACTGAGAACGCAGCAGCTGGGATGGATCCCGACAATACTGTTGAGATCCACCTAGCTGCATGAGTGACAGCTGGCTCTGCCTATCTAGAGGCAGAGTCAGCTGTGTCTGCCCCCTCCGTCATTCATTCCTCCACTCGGTGCTGGAGGATCAGAGAGCGGAGGTGGGGGAATCCCTGAGGGAAGCGGTGACTGACCGCACAGCTCACTGCTCGGAGATGATCGGGAAGTGAGGCTGCATGCTTTTACTCGCTTCCCGATCAATAGAGCCGATCTGTGACACCTTCTTTGTCACAGGTCGGCTCTAACTATGAGAATGAGTGGAAATTACTCATCTCATAGTTCTCCTTTAAATCTTAAAAAATGCATTCAAGTGCCTTAACTATTAACTAAATAGTTAACAGGGAGGGTGGTTACTTTTGTTCTCTGTGGTTCCTGTGTGTGTTTTGAGGGACAAAGTTTAAAATTATTAAAGGCAAATCATTATTGTAATATTCAAGATACATAAAAAGCTTGGGTCTGACTCTGCCACCTTCATTTAACCTGTCAATAAAATATCACTTTTTAGTGGACTTGCCATTTAAAGTAGTAGGCACACAAAAATTATTCTGGGCATCTGGTGTAGAAAGCAAACTATTTTGTAAAGCAGCCGGTCTCTCAGCTCCCGGACAAAATTGTATACATTAGGGACACTGGGCTTTGATCCATGAGAGGGATTGTCCATGCAAAAGACAGACAGTTGGGAGACATACACACACACACACCATAGCAATTCATAGCCATGTAAAAAATTGTAGTGTTTATATCATTCATATAATATAAGTTCTGTATAATACATTAGTTCCATGCATACAGATGCATGATGTGTTTTCCTTGTGAGTAGAAATGATTTTAATTTTAGCTACTGTAAAGCCTCAGTCTTGTGTCCAGGACTTCTGAGATTTGTGTGTAAAAACCTAGCTGAGCTTAGCACCTGTAGTTTATATGTCAGCATAAAATATATAGAAAAGGTCTGTCCCTCCGAACAGACCATACCTGCAAATCAATCATATTTAGTCAAGACATTTGAACACAAGTTTATTTATAAGGTTTACAAGCCTTAAGGGGAATGTATAGTGGTTTTAAATATTTTGCCTTTATTTGTTATATTCAGAGCTAAAAACGTCAGTCTTTTTAGGAATTTAAATATGACATGTTGCATATTAATGCATAAGAAACCAGAAGATGGAGCATTTTCACACTTTTTACGGGATCTCCTTTGTACCTCAGCTGCAAAAAAAAAAAGCCTGTTTAATACAGAGTTCAATAGCTTAAGCTGGCTTTCACATGCATGTAATAAGTCAGCAACATGACACCTCCACCTCCCTCTCTGACTACCTTTTTAGGGGGTGTTTTACAGCTCTGTCAGAGACAGAGAGCCTTAATGGAAACTAAAGTTTATCAAAATCTATAGTGTAAACACCTGTCTATAGATATATAAACTTTAAAAGTAAAAGTAAATTCAACCTTTACCATAACAGTACTTCTAATGACTGTTTCTCTAGAACAGTCATAATGAAAGAAACCCCACTTCTTTTTAAAGTTCAACTTTGGCTAGTTTATGGACAGTACAATTGTTGTAGTAAGTTCAAGTGTATGTCCAGCTTAAACTAATTTTTTTTTTTTTTGAGTAGAGTGGGGAAGGTATAGAACCCCTGTCAGGTTTTACCGCTATCTGATGGTTTCACCAGGCCAGAATTGGGGGTAAATAACCATGCTCCATTGTATACACCTTTTTTCTCTTCTCAAAATACAAGTTTTACAGCATTTGCAAACATTAATTCTCCCTCCATTAACACTTTTGATGCCACTGGCCAGCATACAGTGGAATAGAAACCTTTTTAGCTATCAAGGTCAGTATGCCTTTGCCTTCTGCTATAAGCTTATGGTCACTTCAGGGGATGAGCATACACTGGCTGTTATCACGGGAGGGCAGTAAGGTTCATCTATTGGATGCACACAGAAGTGCTCAGTAGTAAGTACTCCTGTGTTCATCAATAATGGAGCAGATAGAAAACATAAGTCACATAGTGAGCTGTGCACTGTACGGAGCATTTCTCTGTTTATTCAAGAATGCCACTCTACAGCGGAGAAGAGATTGAGGACACTTTGTCCTCAGCGCCGGTTCACACCAGCTCCGATGCATTCCAGCATGATTCGCTGCCAGAACGCACTGGAGCACATCCCAACCAGCTTCCTGTGTTCCGGGGCAGGCGGGGGCGAGCTGGTGTGTTGAAGTCAATGGCACTGCAGCCATGCCCCCCACCCACAGTGTGATTGCCCACACCAGAACGTGTTTGCCCACACCACAGTGTGGCACATCAGTGCCTGCGTTCTGGTCTAGTGCAATCTGAAAAAATAGTGAATGCAGCATGTTCTGGTCACACTGATCACACTGTGGGCTGGGGGCGTGGCTGCAGTGCCCTTGACTTCAATGCACCACCATGACCACTGCCGCCCCTGAATGCAGGAAGCTGGCTGGGATGTGCTCCAGTGCATTCCAGCAGCAAATCATGCTGGAATGCACCAGAGCTGGAGTGAACCAGCCCTCAATCTCTTTATCTCAAAGGGGAAATATCAAGGGTCTGATTCAACCCCTGATATTTTCCAAAAACCCCTTTACCCCAATAGTACTGTCAATAAATAAAAAAATATTCAAAAAATGAAAGTCTTTTTACAACGCATCACAGCACTTGATGATTTTTTTTCTTGCTTGTACAATTTTTAAAATTACATTAGTTCCACTCTATTCATGGCAGAATGTTGTGACATTTTTTTTTTTTTTGCATTGTAACGCGCTGCATTGAGATCAAATTTATATCTGCATTACACCAACTCAGCGCACATATGGAGCGCACACACACACACTGCAGATTGGGCATCATCACAATGCATACGTGTAAAGCCAACCTCCAGATCTTTTGTGTTGCTTATTTGCTGTTTTGCAAACCTACAGTTTTCACTATGTGGAAAAAAGGCACAATTTAACATTCATAAATATTTGTTATTTATTAACTCAACACATTTTTATCTTTTAGATTTAGTAAGGATTTTGTATGTTTTGTTGTTTTTGCACTAATAATACATTTAGTGTATTTTTATTGAGAATATTATTTTCATAAACATTAACACAACAAATCATAAGACCTGCAAAATCAGTGGCACCATCTTTTTACTCTATCAGTCCTGTGCTTTCAGAAAAATATGGTTTGGGTTGTCTTCTGAAAACTTTGAAAGCTGTAGGTGAAAAATAAAAAGGGAAAAATTGCAAAAATTGTTTAGCTAGCTGATGTTAAAAGTGGAGAGCAGGGCCTGGCAGTGAAATGGATAAATCCACTAAATAAAATCATAATATGAATTAGAAAAGTAATCTATCAGACTTCTAAACTATATTTGTTGCTGAATTACCGGTAGCCCAAATACTTTAATTCCTTTTAAACTAAATATCATGTGATATGAGCAATAGATGTAAACAATAGATAGGCTGTCTATATGTGCATGTAATATATATATATGTTGTTGAAATACAAACAAAGAAGGTGTTATAAAAATAATTTTAATTTATGCATCATAACATATCCTCAGGCA